TGTGTGTGTGTGTGTTAGCATTCAGGTGGAGGTGTGTTTCTCCTACATGTTCAGTGCCGGAGAGAAGAGCGACAGAGACAACATCAGTAAGTTGAATCACTTCTAACTGTTACCATGTGTCTGTGTGAATACTGCACTCTGATTGGCTGCTGGCGGTCGTAGCTCACGTAGCATACCGTTAGATAGTACCATACTCAGTCAACAAGCAGCATTTTCCAGATATGTTAACAAAAGTTATAATGTTACTTAGCTAACACTGAAGGATAACATAAAAACTAAAAACGCTTTTAACTGTAGTTGTTGGTTGTTGAGATTGATGATGATGGAAGTAGCTAATGAGAGTTGCACATGCTCAGTACTGATCTGTGTCCATCCAATGAATGGTGTTAATGTGTGACAGTGTCTGTAAACACAGGAACCTGAGCTGGTTCCTGCAGCTGCTAACAGCACAGACACCATGCTAACGGGTCTGTTTATGGTCAGGACTTATTCATTATCATCAGCCAGCTTCCTGTCTGAGTGTGTGTGTGTGTGTGTGTGTGTGTGTGTGTGTGTCTGTGTGTGTGTGTGTGTGTCTGTGTGTCTGTGTGTGTGTGTGTGTGTGTGTGTGCTCTCAGCTAATGGCCGACCTGATTGCTTGACAGGACAGAGCTGTCAATTAACAACTGCAGCAGTTAATCAGCAAAGTGACACACACACACACACACACACACACAGACACAGGTGACATCATATTGTGTCCTTGTGTGTCCTCGTGTCCTCTGTTTTTACTGAACGATAAATCACATTACAGAAACTGATATTATTACATCACACACACACACACACACACACACACATTTGCTGTGTGTGTGTGTGTGTCCTGGTTGTGTCTCATTAATTTGACCAATCAGAGACGAGGTCACACTGTTACTATGACACAAAACCTTCACACACACACACAAGCTGCTGATTTAATTTATTTGTGTTGAGTCGTCAGTCAACATTACTTATTGATTGATATTCAGTTTATATTTATTCTTCAGCTGGCCGATTAAATGTGACGAAATTTAATACAATTATGATCAAAACTGTGAGAATTTATTTATTATTTATTATAATTAATTATTATATCATTTTGTGACTTTGTGTTTGAAGCTTCTATAGAAATGAACTTTAAAGCTTATGTTGTATAAAATATTTAGCATATTTAAACATCACATTTAAACATATTTATCATATTTAAATATATTATTTATCATTTTTAAATATATTTATTATGTTTATATATATTTATGTTGCCGATATTAATATGTCACTCTTTAACTGTCTGTCTCGCTCTCTGTCTGCCTGTCTGTCTCTTAGCCATTCACTTCACTGTGACCGCTGATGTCACCAGCCTCAAGCCCCGCCTCCTTTTCCGTGACAACAGGCAGAACGTGTACTCTGGTTACCTGTCGATGCCGAAAAAACAGTGTGAAACCTTGAGAGTGGGACTGCTGGTGAGATTACAGTGTGATGCCCTGTTAGCGCCCCCTACAGGCTGCAGTGTTCATTACAGACACATTTGTCCTTTGCCGGAGGATATTTACTGATGCTCTGACCAGTAGACAGTTATTAACTGTAGATCTGAAGGAAAGGTCATTAAAAATAAAAGGTTATCCACTGAAAATCCACTTTCTTAAATGTTAAATACATCCAATAATAATAGGAACAAATGCACTTGTTTTTGGCTCCACTAAATCTGACACCTGATTTCTGAGAGGAAAAACATCTGAAATCGGAAGTTTGATGCAGAGAGTTTAAGATATTTCAATGGTTAATTACGGAAGTTCTGCAGTGTGAGATAAGAGCGACTGCTAAGTTAACATCCTGGTTCTCCACCAGGATTCAGAGGAAAAACCGTACTTTCTGTGAACAGGCTGACGTTGTTTAGAGAACTTCAAAGAGCACTGAGCTCTCAGGTGGTTGACGTGCAGGTAAAAGCTGTGCAAGTTGAAGTTCACAATGTTCTGGGCTCGTCCAGTCACGTCTTCATGGAGATCTTATCAACATATGTTTGTTCCTGCCCACATTGTTGCTGCTTATTTGCAGTTGTGACGTCTGTTCTGATTCATTTGAGGCTGACAGATGTGTGATTACTCAGTGAACGGCGTCCTGATATGTTTCAAACTCTCTCGCTGCTGTTTTTACTCCATTAATCCTGTTTACTTCACATTCCTGCTGCTCATTCTGCTGGTTTCACTTGAATCAACCTGCAGAGAGATAATCCTTCAGTTTGTGTTCTGTTCATGTTCTGTTGGAGTTCAAGGACTCATTTGACAGAAGACTAACAAAGAAGAGGACAAAAATAGAACAGTTGCTCATATGAAAAGTGTTGCTGAGGTTCTGTTCTGTATGTTTGTGTTCTGCAGAGTTCGATCCGGGACAAAGTGGAACCTTTGGTGTTCTCTCTGAATGTCTCGCTGTACGAGAAGCTTCCCAAGAAAAGAAACGGTGTACAGGACCTGAAACGCTTCCCTGTGCTGAACCAGACATCCCGGCCCATCAAAAGCCAGGTCAGAACCCATAGAACCATCAGAACCAATTAAAAACCTTTTAAAAACCCAGCAGAACCCTGCACAAACCTATTAAACCTATTGAAAAACATCAGAACCTATTGAAAACCACTAAAACCCCATCAGAACCTATTGAAAACCACCAAAAACCCATCAGAACCCCTCAGAAACTTGAGAATACATAGATCCTATTAAAAACCTAGAAGAACGGTCAGGAACTGGTTCACAAATGAGACGGAACCAACAGAGAAACTTGGTTGTATCCATGTGAGGACCCTACAGAAACCAGATGATAAGCCGAACCCATTAGAACCCACCACAGAACTGATCAAGGTCAGACAGCAACAGAACCCAGAGAAAACAGTAGAACCCAGGTCAGAAGGAAGAACTCAGAACTGTTTTTAGTGTCTTTCACTGATGTTGGACTCCTTCATCCATCAGATTCACATCCAAAAGGCCTGTGGTTCTGATAACCATTGCCATAGTAACCTGCAGATGACGGCCCAGTTCACAGATGAGAACCAGAGACCCTTCCCCACGTGAGTCAACACACAATTGATCATTTATATGGATCATATCAAAATAATCTGATTGTTGCTGAGAGCAAAACAAAAGAGCATAAATCAGTTCCTCCAGGAAGTGATCACAACAACTAACACACATTCAACCAATCTGTTAATTCTGCGTGGCCTTGCAATTCAATTCAATTCAATTCAATTTTATTTGTATAGCGCCAATTCATAACAGAAGTTATCTCAGGACACTTTTTAAATAGAGCAGGTCTAGAGCAGCGAACTCCTTTTAACATTTACAGAGACCCAACAGTACCGACCACCATGTAGCGAAGACCGTTTGGGCGGGTGACGGGGGCAACGGGAAAAACTGCTTTTAACACAGGCAGAAACGCTAGGACCAGACCTTCGCGCTCTAGTTGGGTGCGCAGTCCCTGTCGTTGACCAGTTTTGGGGTACGAGAGAAGAGAGAGA